CGCGCACTCTCCTTGGCGTTGAACCACCCGTATCTTGGACTCCGCTATTAGCTCGTGCAAGAGAACCTTCATTGTCGCCCGACGTCATGGTTTTCTAACGGCAATCCTTCGAACCACAGCTCTGATACCACTTGTTGACTACTATTGAGATCTAGAAGCTACTATGCACACTTTTAATTCTCACTTAACAGTCCCCACGGGGTCACCTCCAAGGGTCCTTGGGTGCCTGGCAAAGCCAGCCCCTATCCAAGGGTCCGTGTTATGTCGAGGGACACGCCAAGTATGAAAACAATCGTGTGCATTAGAGCATTCTCAGAACTCCTTGCGCAGCATTATGACGACGAACTGGTCGTGTGCAGAATGTTCTCTTCACGTCAATACGATGTTAGAGAAAAACTTCACTCAAAAGGATTGATTACAACTGAACACAAATACGGATTTATATTTTGCCTAACACACAAGCATAAGAAAACACAGAGGAGTTGTTTAACTATACTTCAGGACTTCGCCAGATGCGCCAAGGAAAACGGTTGTCGAACTGCTTCGATATTTGGCTTGGTTCTCCCCTGTAGAATAACTGTCTTCAAATTCCATGTCTGCCAAATTCCCCTGCTGACTCCCGTCATGAACGTTCGCGACTTCTCGTGCGCAATCATAAACACTCGTGTGAGATTACCGTTTTCACGAAGTCTCACAGTTGAGAAACGGTTTTCACCGTTTTCTCCCTGTATCGAAAATGTCGCGTTACACGCACGACGTTTCCGGCGAAGCTGCTTGTACGCCGAGTCAACGCGGGATTCGGTTTTTCAATCGTAATCCCGAACTCGTCCTTTCCCGCAATCAAGCACGACCGATATTTCGGTCGTGCGGTACTGTGCACTGACGTGCGCAGTGCTGCGCGTGGGCAGGGCGATCATTCGCCCTGTCTTGTTGCGATCGTGCCCACAGTGCACGCTCGCAACAGTGCGAGGCACACGCGCGGGCCTACGGGCCCACACGCACGATCAGGACCCCACGCGCGGGTCCCGATTTCCTCGCGCGGTTGACCTTGACCATCGCGAGAAATATCCAAGGGTCAACATTGACCCCTCGTGAACACCCACGATACTTCATGAACACACACGAAAACAGAAAAACGAAAACTAACATGATCGCTCACAAACATTCATGAACAGCGCACAAACTTGACGGAATTTCACGAACACAGTCACGAACACAGAAATTCACGAACACAGAATTCACACACACTTATGAAGCCTCACGAAGCAACGCAAACGCACACGAAGTCTCGCATTCACACACGGACATTCACGAACACTCAGGAACGCAACCTTTCATGTGAACTCACATAACTCATGAACCGTTGAGGCGATTCACGAGCCGTAAACACAGAAACGTGAAGCACATAAATGCGCAACTCACACACAGAAAATTATCTTGAGACGAAACATCTCACTTTCACTCAACGTCGACACATAGGCGGTAGGTTGTCGTGCAAACTGTGTATTGCACTCAACATGCAGTGGGGTACTCTATAGCGAGTACAACCCAATTAGGGTTTCCTATATGTATGCCTACTGCTGCTAGTGCAACCCTCCTCTTCCTTCATTTCTGTTTCTGCCTGCTGTTTCTGACATATTGTCAGCCCCCGGATAGAAGCGCCCCTGGGGTTGTAATAAAACACTGTTTTTTAGGGGGTGCGTTTATAATTGAGGATTTTTATAAGCGCCGGCGTCTATAAAATGGCAAATGTGAAATATGTTTTTTTTTACATGTAACTGAAGATTTTTCAAAAGGGGATTCAATTCACATCCAGAATGTTCCTACCCGTGCATGAAAAACGCGTCAAATGGCCAACAAGGAGTGGCATCACGCCTTGTTGGCCTGGTCGGATTTATCGTACATGTATCTCGCGCATGCCAGCGCACACGCTGTTTAGTGTGCGACTGCCCAATCAGTCACGAATGCCAAGCCAACCACGACGCTGTACAACCACGAAATATTCATATGCGGCAAGATTCCTTGCCACCAAGGCTTGGACCCCACCACATCAGCTCCTCTGCGGGGAGATCTTGACAGTTTCCCCCCGCTCCCTGCAGAGGAACTCGGGCCGCGAAGTTGGAGGGGTCTCGGGCGAGGGTTTCAAACAGGCTTCATTTTCACCGTTTTTTTCCAGATTTCTTGTTTTCTCTCGGCCTGCCTCTGCCATGGCGGGCCTTCCAAGGACCCATTTTCTCTTTAACCACCAAGGTGCTGCTGCCAAAACTCCTGATTACTCTCAGTGGCAGAGTCGCCCAGCTCCCTTACCTCCTGCTCCTCCTGCGCCTCCTGCTCCTCATGCGCCTCCTGCTCCTCCTGCGCCTCCTACTCCTCCCGCTCCTCCTAACGTCGTCATCAACGGTGTGCCCGTTATGCAGCTTCTCCCTCGCGGCTACTCTGCTTTCGACGCGTACATCTCCGAGCCCGAGCCCGAGCCTGAGCGCAGCGACGAAGATGAAACCGGCCTTCTTTCGCCACGCTGGGGAGACCCGGAAGACTGCCCGCACGAAGAATCCGCCACTGGTGCCGAAGACGACGTTGAGTGGTGGGCGGCCGACGGTCTTCCCGAGGACTTGCCTGTCCCAAGTTTTCCCCCGCCCAATAAAAAAAGGCCCCACCCCTCCACCCAGAATCGTGATGCCCGCCCCCCGTCTCCCAGGAGCAGGCGCTCAAGGCACAAGCACCACTCCTATACTTCTCAGGAGAAGCTGCACTGGATTTCACAGCTGGAGTTCGGTGTTGTGAGTGTGCGGAAAATGGCGCGCGACACTGGTATCTCCCGAAAGTCCTTGGCAGAGTGGAAATCGCGGAAGGGTGAGCTGGAGGGCGCGCACGAGGCTCGCAAGCGCCTTCACGGGCGTGGTCGGTTGTCGTGGTACCGCGACATGGAGATCCAGGTCTACTCACGTGTTCTTGCCGCCCGGAAGAAGTGCCTCGCAGTGTCGGTCGGCCGCCTGCAGCAGTGGTCACGAGAGGTAATGAAGAGCCTGCATCCTGAGGTAAAGTGGGCGGGATCTCAGAGATGGACCGAGCGTTTTCGGCGCCGCTGGAATCTCACTACCCTAGCGAACACCCGAGTCGGCCAGAAGCTATCCTCCGGTGAGTCGCTGTTCTTGTCGTCGCTCTCGTTTATCCCTTTTGCCGACGTTCGATGTGCTAATGTTTTTTATCGTTTCTGTCTCCCCGTCCCTTCCAGAGTGCGAGACGCAGGTGCGGAACTTCAGGAAGTTTGTGCGACACACCCGCCGACAATACGGCAGCGACAACCGCTGGATCATTAATGCAGATCAGACCCCGCTCTGGCTCGAAATGCCAGCTGAACGCACGGTCGAGGAGGTGGAGGTCCGCTCCGTGCCCATCCGCAGCGGCGGCTATCAAAAGGAACGCGTGATGGTGATGCTCGCCTGCACCGCCAGCGGCGAGAAGCTCAAGCCTTGGGTGTTCTTTAAGCGCAATACTGTTCTGAAGGGGAATTTCCCCTCCGGTAAGCCGAGCAACTTGTGCAGTCACGGTATGATTAGCATGTGTTGTTTTTTTGTAACTGATGACAAACTTAACGTACGTGTTGTGTGGATGTGCAGATGTCGTGGTCGTCGCACATCCCAACGGTTGGATGGACGCGGACGGCGTCCTCGCGTGGCTCGACGGTACGGTGAGCCCGTACGTCAACCCGAGGTTCGGAGTGCGCAGCAGGAGGGCGTTGCTGGTGCTTGACTCCTACCGCGGGCACCTGACTGATCAAGTGAGGGCGAAATTCGGCGAGTTGCATATCGTCCCTGCCGTCATACCAGCTGGCTGCACATCGGAGGTTCAGCCCCTGGACGTCACGGTGAACCGCTCCTTCAAAGCAGCTGTGCGACAACTGTACCAGGAATGGTTCGAGAGCGAGGATGTTGACTGCCTGACCGAAAGAGGTGAGATTTAATTTAAGGCCTGATTGTTTTTCAACTGTTTACCCTGTTCTAACTACTGGATCTTTCCATGTGTGGCAGGCAACATCCGCAAGCCACCGCCAGAGCTGACGCTCAAGTGGATCTCCAAGGCCTGGAAGGCGGTGCCCAGGGAGTTGATTGAGCGCTCGTTTCTCACCTGTGGCATCAGCAACGCCTTGGACGGGTCTCAGGACAGTCTCTGCCTGCAGCACCGGCGGGACGCCGTCAAGGGCGAAGTGGAACTGACGACGAGATTGCAGCAGATGGATTCTGCTGCAACAACGTAGACGAGCCAGAGTCGGATGGTGAGACCGCCCATGAAGGCACCGCCACTGCTGAAGATGATGCCTAGGTTTTGTAGGTAGAGTAGAAATGTGTAGGATTTGAAAATGTGGTAGAATATGCAGAATACGCGAAAATGTAGTAGAATATGTTTAGATACTGTAGAATAACAGTCTAATTGTAATAGCTTAAAATAGAAGATGAAATATATAAAACGGTGGCGCTTATAATATGTATGTTAATAGGGGTGCGCTTATAATCCGTAAGGCTCCAAGGGTGCGCTTCTAATCGAGGAGCGGATATAAGCGCCCTCATCCTTTTATAAGCGCCGGCGCTTATCCGAGGCCGGCGCTTCTATCCGGGGGCTTGCGGTACGTTATATGTTGTTTTTACGCGTCACAAAGGCTTTGAGACACAAATGTCCCCGCAGGAATGTACCCTTATGGTTTGTATTTGTACCCCTATCGTTTCCTAGTCAATCGTTCCGCTGTTTCCAACTATGAGAATTTGTAGGTGTACATTGTAAGCATATGTTGGGTTGTACTGTAGAGTGTATGGGTTGCTACTTGTTTGTTTGTACCCCCTTCATGTCCTCTCAAGATGAACAAGCAAGCATTGTCAACCAAAAAAACAAAACAAAAACACAAACTCCACTCGTACGTATAGAAAATTTGTCCCTGATCCGTACGGCTCTACATATCAGGCAGCATGGGCGGAAGCGGCAAGATGATGCCGTGGCGTGGCGGCTAGATGATGCCTTGGCGGCGCAGGTCCTGGAAGGTCTTGCGGTCGTACACGTTGCCCTCGCGATCCTCACACTCCTCCTCCACCTCCGGCCGCCACTTGCTGCCGCCCTGCTTCTCCCGCATGCGCTCCCATAGGGCTAGCGCGTCCTGTAGTGCAAGTCAAGCATGTGCAGTGCAGCGGGCGGGAAGCGAACCCAAACAAGCGGAGTATGAAACAACATGAGGCGCACAATGGTCAGGCCTTGAAGCTTGCATGGCCTTGACATATGCCCTGTTGATGCCACAAAGCACTTAACGGCACATAACACATGGCAGAGCCAACTCAGGAATAGCTGCCTTCGCGTTCCCTCCCCCATCCCCCCCTAAACGGCCCACCTTAATGACGGTGACTTCATGGAAGGCCTTGGTGTTGGGCACGCCGAGGCAGCGCATGCCGTGTTGGTGCCGGAACTCCCGGAAGTGCCGCTCGAACGCGCGCCGCCCCCAGTAGCTGTAGTTGCCGCAGATCTCACACTTGAACTCCTGCCAGGGAGCGACGGTGGGGGGGGGGGGGGGGAGCAGAGAGCACATGGCACGGCAAGGCAGGGCACAGGGGATGAGTCCGTGGGCAGGGGAGAGTGCACACAGTGTGGGCACCGGAATGGCCTTGATTCTGAAGAGAATGTCCGCTTGAACGTACCCGGTTTAACTCATACCTCGTACCTCGTACCCATACCTGCTCGAGCCCGTACCTGCTTGAGCCCGTACCTGCTTAAGCCCGTACCTGCTTAAGCCCACCTGTCCACCTTTCACAAGTCCCGCACCTGGTTGAGCCCGTACCTGGTTGAGCCCATACCTGGTTGAGCCCATACCTGGTTGAGCCCGTACCTGGTTGAGCCCATACCTGGTTGAGCCCATACCTGGTTGAGCCCATACCTGGTTGAGCCCATACCTGGTTGAGCCCATACCTGGTTGAGCCCATACCTGGTTGAGCCCATACCTGGTTGAGCCCATACCTGGTTGAGCCCATACCTGGTTGAGCCCATGCAGCTTGTAGAGCCAGTAGGGGATGGGCTTGCCGTCCCACCCCATGGGCAGCTTCAGCGGGTTGTAGATCTCCTCCTCCTCCTCCTCGCTCTCCTCCTCCTCCTCCTCCACCACCTCCTCCTGCCACGCACACACATACAGGCGCACACAGTGGGGCACGGCGCGGTGCATTCAGGGCTCGAAACGTCAACGAGAAAGCAGACAAAGAAGGAAGATAGACCTTCATCAACTCCAACCATCCATTTCTCATTCCCTAGATCTCTTCTTTCCTCCCTCCGTTTCCTCCAATCACTCCATCCTCCCCCACTCTCTCTCCCTCTTAACTTGCTCCCTCTTTCACCCAATCACGGACCTCCTCTCGCTCGGCAGCCATCTCCTCATATGTGAGCCCGGCCTTCTTCTCCACGTGCACGCGCGTCTCTGCGATGGGCTGCCATGCCATATGTAGCATTGCAAGGAGCGCGCATGGTGGTGATGGTGCGTGCATGCACATGCAGGTCATGCCACACACAACAACACACGTGCCGGGAGAGGGGAGGGGGGTTGAAGGTGGTTTCCAAAGACAGCAGTGTTGGGAGTGGGCCAATTACACAGAACGAGCGCGAGCACGGCATAAGTGATCAGCAAGAGACACCTTCCTTACCAACCAGCATCACACCCCATACCGCCACCCAAGCCCCCTCCCCCTCCCCTCACCTCCTCCAGCAGCTCGCACAGCCGCTGCACCTTTGCCTCCACCAGAGCCACCTCGCGAGCCACACTGCCACCGCCGCCACTGCCGTTGCCACTGCCGCCATTGGTGCTGTCTGCAGCAGCCCCCGCGCTGCCCTTGGCGGCCTTGGCGCCCTTCTTCTTGGGCGGGGCGAACGACTTGGCCAAGTGCTTCGGGTCAATGGCCTCAAAGCGCGTCGTCTGTGACAGCAGAGGGCATGGCGGGGGGGAGTGCGGGCGAAGAGGTGATCATGGAAGGCTGTTGAAAAGAGGGCGCAAGAGGGTAGTGGCGCATGGCACAGAGGGAATGGATGGAGGCGGGCCAAACAGCACTTGCCACTATACCCACAAGCCACAATCCCACCGCCCCACCTTGGCCATGAGCAGTCTCTCTGCGCGCTCGCGCGGTGTGCCCCCCGTCTTGAGCCCGAGCGCACCGAGCGCCTCCTTGACCTTGGCGGGCGGCACGAGGTCCTCGTCCAGCAGCTCGTCCACCGTGTCAAACTGTGATAGGTCCACCACACCCTGCTTCATGCCGTACCCCTCTCCGCCCTCTCCGTCCTCCTCCTCGCCCTCCCCCCTGTCCCCCTCAGCACGCAGCACCCCCGCCCACCCCAGGCCCTGGTCCTCCCACCCCAGCACCTGCCCCTGCTCCCACCGATCCCTGAAATCCTCCTCTAGCTGCCCCCCGGGGAGGAGGAGGGGAAGGGGAAGATGCGAGCACAAGAGAACGGGGGAGGGGGAGGAGGGGGGAGAGGAGAGCAAGTGAGGAGAAATGGGTACAGAATTCACGTGCATTTGAGAGGCACGAGACGTAGCATTTCAGCAGCCATCTACAGACCATATCCTCTGAAACCGCACAGCTTCTGCCTGCATGGCGCGTGCTGTGCCCTTGCGGAGCACAACACGTTTCAAGACACGGCGAAGAAAGAAGAATCACTTCAATACCGAGCTGCTTCTCCCTCCATCCATAGCCCTCACATTGCCACCTATATTCCATTATCCAGACACGAGAATTCATGAAAAGAAAGAGAAACACAAGCACGTCTATGGTGCACAAATAGAGTTGATCCTACTTGTTGCCCCACCTTGCGGTAGAGCGTGGGCAGGTCCTGCAGCGGGTGCGTGCGCAGGAAGAACGACTCCAGGTACTCCGCCACGCCCCCCATGTACGCGCGGTATGCCCTGCTCATGGGGGACGGGGGGAGGGGGGGCGGGGGGGGGGGGGGGGAGGAGGGGGAGAGAGGTGCGGTGCGGAGGGGGGAGGGGGGGGGGGGGGAGGGAGGGGTGAGGGCGAGCGGGACGGGAAAAATGAAGAGGAGAGGGGAGAGGAGGACGTGCTGGTGGGGGGGAGAGAATAATGAGAATACATTTGTATGTACGGGAGTAAGAGAAGACATGGGAACAAGGCAGTGCAGCACATATATGGGTGCTGGTCTTAAGAAGGCTTTCACTCCAAAACTAATTACCACGGATATTCGTTCACAAGAAGTTTTCTACAAGAACAAACAAACAGGTTTGCCATATGGACCGCCTCGTGGCGACTGCGAATCAGCCAAGTCGCATGGAGCTTGCCCCATCCACCTCGTTGGACCCACACAACTTCAGCAGTGCATGCATACGGACTCTGCTACCACTCACCCCCTGCGCTGCACCAAGTCCCTGCCACCCTACAACTGCATACTTGGTGAATTTGAAGTTGCGGGGGATCTTGTGCGTCTGGGGCAGCTGGTCGAGGAACGCGGCGTAGTCCATGGAGCGGCCGAACTTGGCGTTGCAGAACTGCTGGTGCGCCTCGTTCATGTCCACGTGCTTGCCCATCGCCTCCTGGGGACGGGTGGAGCGACGGATGGGAGGAGGGAGGGCAGGGAGGGCGTGCACAAGGGGGAAAGAAGGCAAGTGGGCCATTGAATGGCAGGCTGCATGGCTCAAGGTATGCAGAAGTCACTGCATTCGCAGCCGCGCCAGCTGGCAGGGCAGGTGAAGGGGCATGCCTCTCTATGCCTTGCTGATTTTGGGGCTCACCTCCTCGCTGAACTGCACCCACAGGTTACCTTGTTCATAAAATCTCATGGTCTGCACTTGGCTTGTTTTCCTTGTGTGTGCGCATGTGCTTGCATATTATGGTATAAGAGCATGATATTCATGTTTATATGTAAGTTTAAATGAGGAGTCATAATGTCGAATGGGCTGAGTTGGGAAAGACGCTCAGGCAGGTAAAATGAGACCCAGGACGCTTGGCCCAAAAAATTCGGACGCGAAATTGACATTCGCGATTTTGACGCGAAAGTCAATGTCGCGAAATCGGAACCCTCCCCAACCGAAATCGACCATTGAACCCCTTAACCAACTTTCCAACCATAACGCACTAAACTGCACTAGATCTGGAACTTCCAACCAATGAGGCAAACTTCTTCATGCATTTAGGAGCACTTTGCCTTCATTTGTGCTCCTCCAACCTAGGTTCCCTAAAATCTCATTCGTAAACCATAGAGGTTTAACTTAAGTTTCGCAACAAAGTTAAGATTTGTAAGGTTCTTTTTCGCTTGAGCTCCTAAGCTCCTTTTCCCCCTCCTCCCACTGCCCAACGTGAGGTTTTTTTGCTTGCCCGAACCTCTGTTTACCCTGCCTGGCCCTGCGTCTCGGAATCTCACGATTGAGCGTCCTGCGTCCAAGACGCAGGACGTGTCTTTCCCAACAAAGCGAAAGGGTTTGTTGAGTCGTTTGCGGGTTTTCAGTAGTCGTGTGACTCGTGTGTCGCGTCTTCGTTAGCGTGGCATGTGTGTTTTCGATTTTATCGTGTATGAAACGTTTTCGTTTAAGAACTTAAGAAAATATTTATAGTGAAGACAAGAGTCTTGGTTTCAAGATTCAAGTGATTTCGAAGTTCGTCAAAATGGTAAACATCAAGATTATGGAAATATTTGCATTGCACTGTGCAATTTTCATACTGCAGCCCGTTCAAACTACTTTAGCGTCTTCATTTCTTTATCAAATCGAGTGATTTGACCTGCTTGTTGTAAAACGTTATCAAGTTTTGAATCTGCTCTGCCAAAATCCGTCTGCACACTCTATCTTTCGTTTAACACACATTAGAGTCTATTGCGACTATAACACACTTCCTCGCTGAATTGCACCCAGGGCTCACCTCGCCGCTGAATTGCACCCAGGGCTCGTCCTTAATGAGCTCGTCCACGTCCGCCTCGCCCTCCACCACCCTCGCCCCCGGATGCCGCCTGTGGTACTCCCGGATCTGCCCCAAGACAGGTGGGAGCGATAAGGGGGGGGGAGAGAGAGAAGGGGGAGAGGGTGAGAGGAGGTGCGGGGGGGAGAAGAGTGGGCAGCGCAGCGACGAAAGGAAGCGGTGAATATACACATCCATTCGATCAAGAGGGTGGCACCAGAAAGAGGGTGGCGTGAGGAGGGAACGAATCTGACAAGGAGCGGGTGCCCTTTTATTGCCCACTCTGCCCTCCCTGCCCCCTCTGCCCTCCTTGCCCCCTCTCCCTCTTTCCTCATACCGCTCGTCGTGAAGCATGGTGAAAACACCGCTTAAAGCCCCACTTTGCCGCACAAACCACACCTCACCGCGTGGTTCACTCGTGCATAAAGCCAACCATCAACACAGCTCTCTTCACCAAACTAAACCTTGCTTGACACATTGAGCCCCTCTTCACCGCACTGCACCCCTGGGGTGGTGAGGTCACCTCATTACTGCACCCCTGGGTGGTGTGGTCACCTCATTGAGGCGCTCATAGAAGGAGGTGAAGACGGTGGCGCTGGGGTTGGGCGTGCCCTGCCCGCCCAGCGCCGCTATCTCGTCCCTCCTCGCCCCGTCCGCGTCCGCATAGATCTCCGCCTGCCCCACACGCCCATGTGTGCCCAGGGGGGCGGATGGGGGAGAGAGGGGAGGAAAGGCAAAGGGAGGGAATGGGGAAAGAAGTGAGGAAGTAAATAGAAGAGCGAGAGCAGGAGGGTGGGAGCGCTCGACTCTGTCCGCGTGGATTCCCGAAGAGGGGAATTGTGGAGACGAGGAAGGGGGCGGTGGGGAACGGCGGAAGGAGGGGGGTTTGGGGGAGAGGTAAGTGTGAGGAGCAAGTTTCGCAGCAGGGCGGCCTTGGCGTGGTTGTGTAGGAGGGTGAGAGGGGTGATGTGTGAAGTGAAGAGCGCACAGCAGCGCGTGCAAGGCCGTGGTGGTTGGACTGGCAAGGGCGAATGGAGACAAGGTGTCGGGGAGGTTAGGGCAAGAGGCAGGGTGGCGGGAGGGCGAGCACGGACAGCAGCGCTGTCTCTGCAGCAGTTAAATCTTCCGCCTGCATCCACGCAAAACAGAAATTGCCCCACCACCCATGACCCGCACGCACAGCGATTCCTCAAGGCCGCTGGACCAACTGTCGACGAAGATTAACAAGGCGAACCGCACAGCTACCGAACGTGAGGTGCGAGGCACGCAGGCAGGCTTAGGGGAGTGCAGCGAAGCGCATACGGTAGTGCAGCTTCGCGAATCGAGTCTACGAGATCCGCCTGTCCCTACTTGTTAACGCTGCCCGCCCCGCTTGCATAGCTTCGCCCGCAGCCTGCGAGAGGAACGACGGAGCGACTTATATTAACGATACCGCCAGTGAGAACCTAAGCATCTCCACCCTAACGGTGCTGGCGGGCGACGCGGCGTACCAGGCGCGCGCTGTTGGCGACGATGGCGTCGACGACATTCTTGATGCGATGGCTCTGAAACAGCTTCTCGCGATGCGACGACAGGCTCTGCTGCAGGTCCCTCACCGCCTGCCGCTCCAGCCGCTCGTTCTCCTCGTGCGTCGCGCGCGCCTGCTCCAGGAGCGTGGACGCCATCCGGGTGCAGTGCACGTGGTTGTATGGGGATGCAATCACGAATCAACACTTACAAAGAAACAGTAAGGGCGAGGTCAGGCCGCACATTTGTTGCACTCCTAGGGTTCTTGTATCGTGGCTCAGGACGGTTCCACATGGTGAAAAGCGGTTTTCTAGGTTCGCCGTTTCGCACCGTGATGAAACTAAGGGCGTGTAAGATTGTAACGCCCAAACCAAATGATTGATCATTTGCGCGTTTCAGGGGAGTGCGAAATGTGTAACGCTTAAAGCCCGCGGCCCAAATTGCAAGCCGCGCGGTTCAAGTTTTTAAAACTTGTTCCCCTGACTTTCGGGTTACCAGGTTTCTGGGAGACAGAGGTCCGCGCGACACAACTCAGGCTGTGAGCCAATGAGAGTTGACTACCCCTATGTTGAGAACCAATGAGATTGAACACAAATGTCTTCAGTCGCAAACCAGGGCTCGGCAGAACCAACACACACCCAAAAACTTGAAAACGAGGGTGTGCAATTTGGGACTCTTGGACACAAACAAGTACCCGCTGCACTAACAAAAAAGCCCACGCACAACTCGAACGCACAGTAGGAACGGCCATGGCACGCCTGCTCTCAATCGTAATGCTATATACTGGGAACTATGGCAAGCTAGCAGCGGAAAATAGGGGCATTGATGGTGCTGGTGCTATTGCCTGTTTCTGGCACCTCCGAGCAGAGCGCACATCCAGACGATGCGACGGCGATGGTCGCGTTCGTCGTATGACCGAAGGTCGTTTAGATAGTAGTCCCAACCATGCCGGCACTCCGTCGACTTGCCATGTCGACGAAGCTGCTCGCAGGGTTGGTACATCGCGCTGCGTCACTTCGCGCAGCGTTTCGACGCCTTGCGCCTCGACGCGCTGCGTCTCATGGCGTAGACAGAGATCGCGTGGGGTTTCATCGCGCATCCTCGTCGCTCTCTACGCCTCGGACCGGAAAAAAGCCCTGTCGTCATTCGAATCGCGTGAGCGACCTCATGGAAATCCGCGCAGCCCTTTGGTTTACGGTCCGTATTTGAAATGATCACTGCGCAAACAAGTACCCAATGCAAAGTATGCGATGTTCCCTGAACATCCCCCTCCCATCGCCTCCACTTCCCCCTCCCGTCGCCTCATCTTCCCCATCCCGTCGCCTCATCTTCCCCCTCACGTCACCTCAACTTCCCCCTCCCGTCGCCTCCACTTCCCCCTCCCGTCGCCTCCACTTCCCCCTCCCGTCGCCTCCACTCCCCCCTCCCGTCGCCTCCACTTCCCCCTCCCGTCGCCTCCACTTCCCCCTCCCGTCGCCTCCACTTTCCCCTCCCGTCGCCTCCACTTCCCCCTCCCTTCGCCTCCACTTCCCCCTCCCGTCGCCTCCACTTCCCCCTCCCGTCGCCTCCACTTCCCCCTCCCGTCGCCTCCACTTCCCCCTCCCGTCGCATCCACTTCCCCATCCCATCGCAAGCACTTCCCCTTCCCGTCGCCTTCGCTTCCTGCTCACTCTCTCCCCACTGTCCCCATTTCCCCTCCCCACCCTTCCCCGCCGCCCGTCCGTGGGCAGCAAAGTGGCGTCCCTTTTGCGCCATCGTGATCAAAGCTCCTTCCGTCGCCACCCTATTCTTCCCCTCGCACCTCCCCTCTCCTCACCTCATTTCCCTCCTCTCCCCTTCCCTCTTCGTTCCGCCGCATACTCTCATAGCCTTGCGTCCCCTACGTCCCATAGGCTCTCTGTATCCTTCTCTCCTTTCCGCCCCTCCGTGTGGGCTCCCCCTCTCCAACATTCACTGCTGTCCCGCTCCCGTGCCACGGCGATCGCCATCAAGGTCGAGTCCGGGCCTGGCTCCTCGTGTGAGGGGTGTAGCAAACTTTCTCTCCTTCCATCCCCCCTTTCCATCCTCCCCCCCCCACTCTCCCCCTCTCGCCCCTCCTCCCCACCCAGGCGAGTGGCGATCTGGCGGCACTTGCGCGTGTTTTACGCACATGTGGCAATGAGTGCGCAGCTCATATCGGCGCCCTCAGGCCAGGCCAGGCCCCAGCGTAAAAAACTAAAAACTGTCAGACGCCAACCTCTCTCCCCTCCCCCTCCTTAATCCCCTCCTCCTCTGCCTCTCCCCTACTCCCCATAACCTCCTGCTCGCCTCCCTCGCCGTGAGGTCTAAGGAACCTCGTATTCCCACATCGGCTCGTGTCTCCCCCACATCTCCCCCCTCTCTCCTCCTCCTCCTCCCCCCACCCACTGCCGGCCCGCCTGCCAACCTCATCCACATTTCTTTCCCCCATCCGCTATCATCAACGCCCTATTAGGACAAGCCGTAGAGGGAGGGCCTCCTCACGCGCCCTCGAAACCCATGTCTCCCCATCTCCCCCCACCTCAACCCCCCCCTTTCCCACACTTTCCCCGTCCCCACCCTCCCTACTCTCCCCACCTCTGTCCCCCTTCCTACCCCAGGCGAGGCCCCCTCTCCCTCTACCCCACACTCTTGCTTCCTCACCCGGGCTCCCCCTCACTCTTTGCACGCTGCTCTCTTCTTCCCACCCAATTTCTTCCAATCGTTCTCTCAGAAAATCATTTCGGTTTTTCCTGCCCCTCCTCTCTATTCCTCCCCCTCCCCTCTCAGGCAATTAATGCAATCACAGACAAGCACGTGCCACATGTCCCAAAGCCCTTCCATCCGGCCCTTTCTTCCTCTCCTCTCCTCTCCCTTTCGGCCACCCCCCTCCCTTCTCTGCCTGCCATCAGGTCATTGCAAGCACCGACAAGAACAAGCCACCAAGTCCCTGTTCCAAGGCCCCTCGCTTCTCCTGACCCTGCTGCCGAGCCTGTTCCCAGACCTGCCTCCGAACCTGAAGCTCATGGCAAGAGGGAGGGAATGACAGCGGGTGGTATGGAAGCAGGGAGGGAGGGGAGGAGGGAAGGATGACACAAGGGAGTGAGAGTGAGGGAGGTGAGGGGTAAGGGGAAGGGTGGGAGAAGGAGGAAGAGTTGGAGGAGGAGGACAAGGAGTGGGATGATGAAGTGGAGTTCTAGGAGGCACAGGTGAGAGCTGCACCACACTGCTGCTGGGCTGGGACACATACCCACCCTCTTTTGTGAAGCTTCCTGACTATCTAACAGGGGGACTACTTACCCTGGCCACCCTGTTGTGCCTGTGTTGTTCCTCAGATGGTCTTACCCCTACTTCCCCCCTTCTTACCCCCTCGTCCTCTCCTCTCTCCTGCATTGGTGCATGTGTCCTGTTTTGTCTGTGGATGCTGTGGGCAGCAGAGGAGGAACTATACGGGGAGAAGATACTTTCAGTTGACAGCCTGACCTCAGGTGGTCTCCACCTGTCAGGTGAAATGACAGTGTGAGATTCTATGGTGCCACCCATACACCAACCCCCGCTCCCCTCTCCTCACCGTTTGCCCTTCGGCTGTGTCCCGCTGCTCAACCCCATTTGCTCAGACTTCTATTCTATGCTCTCATCTCACCTTTCCATTCTCCCCTCCCTCCGTTCTTTAACTCTATCCCCTTCCACCTCCTCCCCCTTCTCTGTTTGTTGTGCGCTGACTTCTTCTGCCACACCTGGTTCCATGAGGTGCGGTTGGTGGGAGGCATAGAGATCTTGGGATGCGTCTCAAGAGTTGGCTTGAGTCTGCACCGGGTGTGTTCTGTGTGTTGTGCGCCAAGTTATTTCGTCACTGCTGCTTTCATGAGGTCAAGTTAGAGGATGAGAGTGGTTCTATTGAAAGGGGGGCGGTGAGAAACCCAACGAAGCGCTTGCACCCACAAGCTAAGGTTTATGTGAATGCGTGCATCACGACTTTCACGGGCTCGCCCATGCATGTCTCTCATGCCCCCATGCCCATGCCTCATTCTCCATGCGATGGCGAAGGTGGGTGCATTGAAGATGGTCAAGTGGCGTCGCTATTTACTGAGCGAAAGTGAGGTTTCCCACGTAGTGCCATATGACGTTATCCGCGCTGGCATTCAGTGTTTGATATTCCGCCGCATTCCGATGCTTTCAGAATGCGCCGACGTTCGTGCCGTGTCTACGGCTTTTTTCGTACCTTCGGGAAGCATCCTTTCCAGGGCGACGGGCCATATTCCCTATCTCGCCGTCTCGAATGAAGTGGTTCTGTTTGTTGATGACGGTCGTGTGACGTTTTTTATCTCAACTGCAACCTTTATGGCTGTCGTAATGCTAAGGATTTGGCAGTTTTATCATCCGCGACGCAAGTGTGCTTGCTCGTGCCGCCTACTGTAGTTGGCTGCTGTATGCAGTATCAAGTACTAGCGGGCCTCATCATGGTTGGTTGTCGAAAGCCTAGGTCATGGTGTTGTGTGTGTGGCAGCGCAAGAGCTGCGGAAGTGTTGTGTTGTGTGTTTTTTGGTCGCGGTGTGTGGTGCGCCGTGCGACAATTTCTATTGGCTGGTTTTCTATTGTTTGACTCGGCTGTTCGCTAAACAATTCTCGATTTCGCTTACTGGGTGTGCCTTCTTTCGGCTCCCAACTTTCACTTTCACACCCCTCGCCACCCGTTGTTCCCCTGGGCCAAGTTTTAAAAACTTGTGCAATTTGGGCCAACGGCTTTAAAACCGGGGTGCACATTCAGCTGAATGTGCATCAAAGGTTATCCCTTGACTGAGTGGGTTACGAGGTGTGCTTTCAACCCCTTCATGTCGAAATTCGTTTCCCCCCTCCCCCGCAATTTCGTTTCCCCACGCCCCCGCAATTTCATTTCCCCCTCCCCGTCGAAATTCGTTTCCCCCCTCCCCCGCAATTTTGTTTCCCCCCTCCCCCGCAATTTCGTTTCCCCCCCCTCCCGCCAATCTGTTTCATCCCTCCCGCCATTCGGTTTCACCCACTCCCGCCATTTCACCCCCTCCCGCCACCTACGAAATGCCCGAAGCTCTAGCGGAATCATTTTTTTGTCGCCCCTCGTGAGCCAATCACTGTTTTTCTCCAAACCCCCTTCCCAACATCTCAAGCCGAACCGCGTTGAATG